GTCAGCAGATCTCGTCTGAGGTTTTAGTTGAGAAACATCGAAATGACAGCTTTGGCAATAGTCAGTTCTTTCCACAGTGCCCTGCCTGTGCAGTTATGCTGACACAGCAGATTTTTAGGGTGAACTGTGGAATAGATCACTGAACTGAACTGTGTGAATAGATCACTTTTAGCCTCGATCAGTCCCGTGGTCAGATTTATAGCTCAGCCTCATCATCAGTTGTTATCAGTACAGTTGAGGCCAATGTATGGCAGGGAAGAAAAACCATAAATGAAAGGGAGAACGTGCCTTAAGGCAGCATTGCCACCAAATACGTGGTGGTAAATACTGTCACCAGGAGACTGCTGCTGTGCAGAGAGCCTGTGGGACAGAAGCAGCTTGATGGTCGCTAAGGCAGGGCTAGGTATCATGGTTTGCTTCCTTGCATCAGATACACAATGAAGGAAAGGGAGACCTGCGTCTTGGTTCAGAAAAGAAATTGTGAATTAAATAGGAAGGTACCGTTTGAAGCTACTCCTGAATGCAACCATCCTCATACAGAACATCAAAGGTGGTGTGCTATGTCTGACATGTTGTCCCAGTAAAGTTAGTGTTTAGCAGTCACTGTAACTTTTCGAAGCCACAGAGCTGCTTGTGGGGAAGCCTGGCATATCTCAGCTCAGGAGAGGCTAACATGTTTCTGGGTCAGTCTTCCGGAAGCTGGAGCACCTGCATGTAGGCATGTCAAATCTTACTCGCTGAGCATGAAACTCTTCTGACACTAACTGTGCGCTTTGCCACAGCAGCTAAATCTGGCACGTTTGCAGCATGCTGTTGCAGCCTGTCCTGCTCAGACACTTCCGCTGATAGGGCGGAGTATGGGATTCTAGATGAGGCTGATCCGCAGCCTAAGGTACTTTTGGGAGCTAAAACTGTGTGCTATGTAACAAGGCCATGTAGTCAAAGGTATGACTGAAAACTTCATTTCCCAGCACCAAGTGCTGCAACCTGTTACATGACCTGACATCAGTTAAAAGTTTCTTAATGACTGGAAGGCTTTTCCTTGAGAATATCCAAATATTCTTGTAATCATCATGGCCTAAGTGGAACTTCTCTGTGCTGTACTGTCTAGCGACTTACGTAGGTTGTGGATAATCAGTGGAACTAGAAACAAATTCTAAAATGTACTTGCAGATTATGATCTTAATAATGCCTGAAAGCATTTTTTTAATGAAATTTGAGGTTATTTTAATTGAAAGAATGTTTAAAATCTAATTTACTCTTCATTTGCTTTCTGCATTGCATTCAACTTTTAGGGAAAAAAAACATACCACTTAACTCCCTTACCCTTTAGTCTGATATACTTTTGGTCGTTCTGTCTGAGTCAGTGTTTGGTAGTATATACTGAAAGAAAATGTTAACACTGCCAAGGTAATACTTTAAGAGATGTCTGTATTATTGTATGCTTTTTAGCTTGAAACTAATTATGAGTTCAGTTAACTAGTTTGCTACAGATTCCTAGGTGGCCTTGACCAGTCATCTCATTTGATACCTTAGTGAAACCCATTTCTGAAAAAATTTATTCTGGGGACATTAATGAGATGTGGTAATACTGTGATAGTGAAAGCTGTATAAATATCCAGAAAATAGAAGTGCATTTGGAATTTGAGGATATTTTTTAAAAATATTAATTTTAATGCAGTCTTATAAATTGGTGCTTGGGTTTTCATGACTTGTACTGTGTATCATTTGAGAGAGAAATTTTTCATTAATGTTACCTGGTACCTCCATAGAAAAGAGGAAATGGAAAGAGAACTAGTGTTCTAGTGACTTGTTCTAGTTCTTATCTAGAGATAAGTGTTCTTCACAATACGCTTCACAATAAGAGAAATAAATATAATATCTATTTAGCGGCTCTTTTTTTTTTCTGGCACAAAAAAATATTTTTTTTTTTTAAAATTTAGCTAATTGAGGTTATCTTCTGCAGTCCTGAGGTGAGCTGCCACAGGAGATGAGCCCTCTTTTGAAAATATGAGTGGGAGGATAGAAGGAGTGAGGGGAGTTGGGAACTATTCGGATCTCATCAGCCATATAACTTGACAGCTTCGTAAACAGAGCACTAAGAAAACTGGTGCGCATCAGTTTTGCACATGTGCTGATAAAAGATGAACAGTCGATTCTTTGTATCTTTGCTGTACTGCTAAATTATAAAGTCCAAGATTTCAAAGGGTTTGAATCAATCGTCTAAATCATATCCTTCAGTTTTGGGAACGTGGTTAATTATGAGTACAGATCTGTTTGAAGTTCTGCCTGGTTTACAAGCTTAAATATTTATTTGCACCTGCCAGGCAGTTAACTACCTCAAATATTATGTGAACATAAAAAGCACATACGTAAAGTTGTAGTTGTTATGGATTATATCTGCAGAATTCCTGGCAAGGACTTAGAAGCCATCTTTTAAAAGACTGGAGACTGTAAATTCCTTCAGCAGAAGATTTCTTTATACTGTATCCACCGTTTTTGTAGCTTTAAAGTAAACCATTCCACATTACAAAGGCCCACTATGGTGTGTCCATACATCCAGCTATAACAAAGCAGATCTGATAGAGCTAGAAACAATTTGCTCAAGCTTTAGTAGTTTGGGCTAGTGAGTTGAAGGCATTTAATTCTAACTTTATTTCCTGGTGTTTGCTTGTTTTTAATCAGAAACTTCAAAGGTAGTCTGGAAAGGAGAACTTATAATTAAGTTAATTTAAGCCTTATATTTGAAAGTTTACCAGGATTTGGGAGGGACTGATTCCAAGTGATTTATCAAAGGATACGAATATACATGGTTTGTCTGAGCTATATAATATATCCTATAGCACTACTATTTGGATGATCTAAACAGAAAGAGTAAAGAGTAAGTGTTTAGAAAGAATGTGTTAAAAAATAATAAGATACAATAAAAAAGTTTATTTAGACGTAGGAAGAGCAAAATCTCCTAAAAGAAGTTAGTCTGGTTCCAGTCCCTGGTGATAATCGTGTAGCTTTGTATAGAGTCTTACAGTTGCATAAATGAAATCAAGTGTAAAACTGAACACAGTAAGATATTTTTCAGTGACGTTTTTAGTTTTTAGAACTGCTAGAACCTCCATTGTTTTGGCATTAATTCCTAGCAGAAACTGGTAGGTTTGAAATAAAATGGTAGAAAATTTTCTATGCCTGAAGAAAAAAAAAAAATTATCCCCTTTTGCCTTCTAGCTTTATTAGGATCAATATCTCACAGGAGCGTGCTGTACATTGTATGAAACTGTAGCATGCTTTTTTTGTTGTTGTTACTAACTGCAATGATTTGTCTGTCTGCTCCTTACTCTGAATAGTCAATAGTAAGAAACTACATTTTAGCTAAAAATACAAAATAAAACAAAAATTAAAACTTATTTTTTAAATTCTTGAGTCTAGGGACAGAGAAAGAAGACTATTCTTAGTGTCCATTTGTGGTTGCTTTCATAGAATTGTTGATTTTCAGTCTACTTGAGTGCTTGTTCTTCTTCAGAAGACAGTAAAGATATTCTTAATATAAAGGAAAACTGAAAATTCTTGCAATATCCAGTAAAATGCATCTGAAGTTGTTTGTTGTTACTTTGTCATTGCAAATTAGAGGAACTATAAAATACATATTGGCCAACTCCATCACAGAGCTTGTTCCATAGATGCTTTCTCAGTGCAAAATGCTGCAGAATCCTGAGTGCATTTCTAAGGTTCAAAGCTTTTTTACTGCAGCAGATTTGCTTGGGTGGGTAATGTTGAAAAAAGTTATTTATATGCACCGAACATGCATGTGTTGTGGAGAAAACTGATGGAAACCTTCTCTTAAGTTGCTCCAGTTGAACATTTCCTGCAGTTTTTCCCCTGGGAAGATGGCCTATTCTTCCACTGAGACGACGTACTGGAGAAAGAGGTCCCCCGCATTGTGCCTTTCCCACCTAGTCCCTTCCCAATAAGTCCTTTTCAGCAATTTGTTGTAGTCCTTTTGCTGTTTTGTGGTGTGTCACTGATGCATCAAATCTAACTCCAAAGTACTACAAAAAAAATTAATAGGATACTCAGATGAGAAAAAGGAATGGCAACTCTTAGTAACTTGATAACTGTAAGAAATAGTGACATTAAAATGAAAAAGATTGACAGTTCTTGATAATCAGTTGGTAGAATTCAGTTCCCAAACTACTACGTGTTGTTGGGTGAAGTGTTTGTCTTTGCAGCCTGTCAGTTGTATTAGGTGTCCTTTTGCAAATGAATGGAAATAATTTCTTTAAACAGCTAAACTGGGGATAAATAACCAACCATAATGGTATTCCTTGTATAGTAAAATATCATGCCTCCCTGTGATCCACAGAGCAATTAAACTTTTCCAACAGTTTAAGAACTGTTAGAACTGGAGCGGATTGAGTTTCTGAAATTCTTAAGTGGCTAAGCAACATTTCATGCCTAGCTGATGGTCATTAGCCAGCTCTGTTTTATTTGGTAACAGAAATTCTAAGCCTTTGAAGATCAGTGCGCTCTCTTCGGCAATTAACTTTGTTCACCTCAGCTATGAACCTTAATATCAAAGTGCTTCTTTGCTGTTTTTGTAACTGAGTAAGTGCCTTTATACTTCACTTGTCCCAGTTTCTGCACTTTCACATGACTGACCTAATTAAAAAACAGACAGCTCAATAATTCTACCATAAGCTAGTAATAATGAAACTGTGGGAGTCCTTGAAGCCCTTTATCATTCAAATACACAGTGGTTTCATGAATAAAGTGGATGACTAAGTATTACTTATAGAAGTAAGGGAGATTATTAGCAGTGGAAGACACATTTGAACTTGCTGAAAGGATCGCGTTTGTCTCTAGAAAGACCTACTCTCAGTAATAATTGCACTAGGTCTTCATTTTATCCCAGCATTCTCTTCTTGTTCACGCTTTCAGTGACTGAATAGCTTGCTATTGCTTGTTAATCCCTGCAGG